CTACAGTGGTCTCTACCATAACACTGTCTACGTAACCCCTCTTTATAAAAACAAGGTTCAACTAGAATTTGGAGAGGGAAATAAGGGTTGTTATTGTTTTCATTTTTTATAATGGTAGATCCAAAGGTTCCTTAGGTCTTTTAGAAATTACTTTGTCGCAACTTACTTTCTCTAAGCGATCTAATTTGTTTTTTAAAGCCTCTAATTCTTCTCTAAGTTCAGCATTCTCAGCCAACAGGTTAGTAAAATTATCTCGCTGCTAGCAGTGCCTGCAGAGTGACGCTCCATGGTAGCAAAGTTTATGTTATAAATAGTCAGTAATTATAGATTTAAGTTTAAGTTTTCAAATACGCGCTATACGAATCGGATAATAGTATTTAACGTAAATCTTAGGTTATATGTTCAGGTCAACAGGGCACGTCCAAAAATGGCAGGAAAACCGCGCGAGTAAAAAAAAAAATTTCAATGGGTAGAGACTAAGCGTGCAGTTCGTTGGTATAATATGAAATTAACTAAATATGGTAATGTGAACAAATTTTCCACGTGCACTTTGCTGGACAAATGTTTATTGCCCAATTTTACCTGCTAAATATGTAGCTGCAACATATAAAGGAAGTTAAAATGTAACTATTTCTTTAAAGTTATATTTTTTAATACCGGAGTTTAAACTTATTAATAAAATTTTTGACGGTTACTTCAACTTTTATATTATAATTACTTCAAAAGGTATATACAGTATATGTTTAAAATTTTCATTTGAGCTCTTAGGCTCTTTATGATCACCCGCCCTTTAGACGCTAATATACTAATAAATTATCCTATAAACAGTTACTGACAACGCTCTTTTCAACCCTGTAGGCCAAAACAATACGTTAAACTGTCCTCTAGACAAAAAAGCTAAACTTCTTTACAGCCTTGTAGATAGAAAAGATGCCACAAATAAAATAAAAATATTTTTTTATTAGCACTGGCATAGTAAGGCCGGTCTTCTTACTAAGACCTTAAGCCGCTTAATCTGAATTTCCTTCTTCTGCCGATGTTATTAGAGCACGCCTTATAGAGCTATAGTGACTGTTTCGAAGGAGTGAAAAAGCGGAAAATATCGGGCTCGGGCCTCCGCCATTCTGCCTAATGTAGTGGAAAGCCGCTAAGAATCCCGCCGGGAGGGCAGTCTTGGGTGTAAGGCCCGAGGCGACCTGGAGACGAATATATATATATACACAATTTTATAAATAATCTTGATAGATTAAACTTACCAATTAAAATTATAAATTAAAACGCAATCTATCTTATTTAACTGCGCACTGTAAGTGGATTCATACCATCACCAGTATATTTAGTAAAAATACTGAGACTTTTCATTTCCGCAATAGAGCTTTATTATGATTTTTATAAATTAAATTCGCCTAGTTTGGTACTAAAACCGTTAACTATGTAAAAGATATAGATTTAAGAAATAATAATTTATTTTATAATAATAATTGAAGGTGAAAAACCTTAATAATTTAAGAACTAAATAATTCCATGAACGAATCCCAACATATAAATTAAGAAAATAAAATTTTAACATCAGTCTCTAATCAGGTATTAATAATTTAAATCAAAAGTCAGAGTAAAGTAAAGTTTTTTAGTGTAAATATGCACTAGGAAGAAAGCAATGAGGAAATATTAACTAAAAGGAACATCAGATGGAACGTTAATTATACAGTCTTCTATGAAACTTTCTGTCTCGTGAGCATCATGAAGCTTTACAAATAAACTTAATTGTTTATTTATTCCATATAATTTAAAAATTGACTAACAAAAGTTAGTTTTTAAAAGTTAACTACCGCCTACTTATTATTAATGCGAGAAAATTACACCTTAGAGAGTAGGAGGGCCTATAAGTTGAGTAATCACAGCGTAGGTAAAAATGTATTATAAAAGCTTATTCTTGATTTTATTTCGACTTTTTTCTTGTGTGTTCTTCTTTTATACCCATTTTAGGTGCACCTTACAAAAAATTTATATTTTAACTGATTTACAAAATTAAAGTTGTGTTTAGTCCGTAAGGTAGCTATGCATTTGGATTTTCTTAAAAACTGATATCTGGATCGATTATTATGTTTTTTAAAAATATTATATACAATTCGATTTAAAAGTAAAGGAATTTTTTTCTAAAAAGATTTAGTAAGTCTGTCTTACTGGCGGTAATTATATGTATGCTCTATGCAAAGAAAAGAAAACTAGCTAGAAAAGTATTACTGTTCAAAATTACCAGCTTTTATATTAAGTCCCTTTATTACTTTAAGTAAAAACATATTGATTCTCAGAATATACAATCAAAACTTCATTTTATGACTTCAAAAAATTTTAAAGATTGCGGCAAGAGATTCGTTTTAGAAAACTAAATTTAATTACCTTTTTTTTTTCTCTGTAAATATTCATAGACTAAACAGTTGGCACGTGGATCTTTTAAACATGTTAAGCAAATATTTTATTAAGCAGCCGTGGAGCATTAATTGTGGCAAATATTTTGCAAATGATTTTATCCGATCCTATTGTTGAGAAATTAAGCTTTCACTTAAGTTATTCTATAATGTATTTTAAGCAAAGCATCTATTTTTTCTTTTTATGAGTCATAAAAATAACATTATTAAATAACTTACACTTTCACGACAAGACTTTCTCAAATTAACGATATTATTTTTGCACACAAGCTCTTCCAGTGAATACTTCTATAAATATCCCAAATGTAAATCTGGTCCTGTATTTACTTCTTTTATTAAGGCTTTAAAATAAGCCCATGACCACATATATTATATGAGTAACATAAGGTTAACGATAAAATAGAAGTTAAAGTAGTAATTAACCATGCATAATTTTCAATAAATTTATCGTAAAGCCTTGTGCTTGACAATGCCAACCTAAGAACAAAATTTTAGGTTAGTAACCAAGTTTATGAGACATTTTAATCACTTTTATATTAAATGGACTTAAGCATCCTGCGGGTTAAAAAAAAAAAAGCAATCTAAAAGATTCGCTCAATGGCCCCATTAAAAGTCCTTGTTCGTATTTTATTAGGTTTTAAGGTGAATACTTTGATACGTTGTTTGCAACATTTACTAAGAAAAATTAAAATACAAGCGCAAAACTAGTTGGTAATTAAGAAAACACTTGCTTTGAGCCCTTTACCCGAAATAGTTTTTATTATAGCTCTATACTTCCACCTGAAAAAAAAGTTTTAGACTCCGCAACTAGCAAAACCATTTATATCAAAAAAACCCGATATAGGTTTTATTAAGATAATTATATTCGTTTGATAGGTACTCGTTGCTCTTAAAAATTTAGTTATTCAACTGTAATGTCATTTTATAAACATAGTTTAGCACTTAAATTTTTTTTAAAAGTTTTTATTTTTAAGTAAAGGAGTACCAACCGCATTGCACACCCAAGGATAATTTTGCAATAATGTTTTGATAACTAACTTCCACTAGTGTAGCAGGCAAATAATTTGGTTAAACTTTATTATTACAAAATTGCACATTCATGTTTACTCATCCACATATACAGTTTAATTAATTGCAAGTTTTGGTGAAGGAAGTGAATTTAAATTCATATAAAAGTAAAAGTTTATGGCAAATACAAACTTTACATTGTCAATCACGTTATCAAAATGTTCTTTGGAAAGCTAATAAACAGCGCAGAATGAAAAGCATTTATTTAGCCATTTCCTCTTCTTCGTAGGGGCCTCATATATAATCGTATTACAAAAGCCCACTATGTATTTTCGGCACATAAGAGGCTATTCTTTTAAGGGTTGATACATTTTTAAGTTTTCTTGCATTTTTCCTAGCTTTCCATGCGCTCTTAGCAGAGCCCACCATCCTTCCTTTATTGAAGAAGTTTCTTTTAATAGTTTAAAATGAAATTCATGCAGACTTGAAATGGAAACAAGTTGGGCGTCGTAATTGCTTAAGAACTCTAAATTAGCCATATTTGTTTGAGGGAGCTTAGAATTGGTTTGTATTTCCTTTTAAGTATTTTATTCATTATAACGATAAATTCGTTAAATACACAAGCAAATAAAATGCCAAAGCAATTTTTAAAATGAACTTTGCATTTTTGTTATAAATAATAATAGCTAAAAGGATCATAACTTATTACGTCCAAACATTTATTACTATTGAGGAGCTAATGTCCCCAAATAAAAAAGGACAAAAATGCAAAAAGTTTTGTTTTTACTCTTATCAGCCGGAATCAATTGGGTCAACTCAAGTGGAGCATATGCAAAGACAACGTCAAAGTCAAAATTCAAAGTATAGATTCCTTTTTGCATTTTTATAAAGTTGGCCGTTTTTAATCTTTTTAAGGTTGTTTCCTAGAGGCAGGCGATTCAAATTAAATTCAATTGTACGAACCACCGAGAAATCTTCAATAAATTCCACGTTGCCCTTGGTCGTAAAGTTTTTATTATCATTATAATTTCATTATGAAATGGTTGACAATATTTTTTTTAATACGGCATAAAAGGATCCCTCTGCACCTAGAATTACGGCAATAAATAATGAAGCCTATTCTTTTCCTTTTAATACTTACAACTCAAATAATGGTTTATCTTACTTACCCTTAAGGGCTAATACTGGTAATAGAAATTCTTATTTTGGCCTTGGCTACAAAACTCCTTTGTTAAATATTGCCCCTTTTCCACCTCCCATGGATTACATTCTTAAAGATAAAAGTCAACTACTACAGCTACAAAAAAACCAATATTTTTCTCCGTGTTCAAAAGATGTACTTAGGTTAGGAGAAAATTTAAAAAAGGATAACTTATTTGATGAGAACGTAACCAAAGTTAATATATTCAATTTTGGGAGCTCTCAATCTTCTGATTATCAGTATAACTGTAATACTCATCTTTACAAATTTAAATCGATGTTTTACAGCTAGAAAAATTTATTAGTTTTCATTATTATAATAAGCATTAAACATGTAGACCATTAATATATTCTTTTATCTATATGCTAGTAAATCCCTGCGAGAATTCGCTAAATAATCTTAAGAAAAGCATATCTATGTCACACCTGGAGAGTGCAACCGTTCCTTTATTAAATCAAACATCTGAAAATTACTATAATAATGGTAGAAGGGAGGCCCCTAATGCCATATACTTAAACAACATACTAACGGTAAACAACGACACAAATACGGAAAAATTTAGCAGAAGCGGTTTTAGTAGCTCAAGTGTTGACGTTCTCAATTATGAAAACAAAAATAATACCTACAGTGCTAGCAGTAACACTGTTAAACATAACCTAAATAATAACATAAATTGTAGTTATAGTAGTAATAGTTTTAATAATTTTGGTAACAAAGATGTTAATAATAGCAGTAATGACCGTTTTAAAAGTATTATTAGCGGCAGTAATGCTAACTTAGTCACCTCTACCACAAATTCTAATAGAACCGAAAGTAACAACTATAAGTCTACTAATATTAGTTACGACAAAAGCCTAACGGGAAATGGAAATAATAACAGTGACGGCAAAAACATTAATAATATAAATAGCGATACTACTATCACTACCTCTGATAATATTAATAACAATAATAATAACACAGCTAATAAAAACAACACTAATGGGTATAATAATAATAACAGTACAGATTCTAATAATAATAATAGTAATAACAATAGTAATCTTTTTCCGAGGGTTGATGTTGTTGGCCTCAGTTCGAATTTATTGTTTGAAGACATCTTATCTGCAGACGCCTTTGACAATAATCTTCAACCAGTTATATCTGGTAGTATATTGAATAACGAAACCACAAATCATAATTTTCAGCCATCTAAACTACTTGCTGAAGTGGATAATACCTTGCTTATTCATGAAATGCTTATATCTAATGAAACACAAAATCTTGGTCAACAGCTTGCAGAGAACTCGTCAATTTCTACGCAACTTAGCGGGCTGAAATCGATGCCTAGTGAACAATGGTTAGAACTCCCCAATTTTCAACAAAGTCATAACCTTCATAAACAGCTGGGACTTTTACAACAATTTAATCTTCAACAGAATTTATCTCAGCCCTATACTGAACCGTCTGCCGCTTTAGCTAACTTAGAGATTAAAACAGACTTTTAAACTATTGTACTTATTGTAAGATAATGAATGTACCTTTTCCTTTTTAGCAACTTGTAATTGATAAATCTACCTATATTAAAATCTTAAATTAAGTTATGTGCTCCGTCAAGCGAAGAAAGACTTAAAAATATCATTATTACGTTGCTAACGCTTTAATTGAACAGGACATCCTATATACAACAAAACGAATTTTATATTTATTGTTAATTGTAAGTATTTAAACTTATTAAAAATGGTTACTCAAAAGAAATCGTTATCTCTGTTTAATAGTATATTACCTGGAAGATATTCTTCCCTTATATCATGCAAAATCTTACTATTACTAAGAATTAAACTATTATATTAGCAGTGGTCTCTATGTAGTATGGCACAGCTTTTCTCTTAAAATACAACATAAAATATTTATTCACGCGAGTCTTGCTCAAAGCATAAAAGCGATATAAAGAATTTTTATATTTATTAATTTATTTCTTGGTGCTCGGTCGGGTTGTAGAAGAAAACACCGAATTTACGAGTTCTCAACAGGGTGATAGCGTACACATTAGCTTAAGGTTTGCATTAAAGCAATCTCATATAAATATATATATATAATAACTCTGACCCTAACCCATGTTATATATTTAGAGTTCAGTGCGAGATCGGCGATAGCGTGCACCATCCAAATTTTGTATTTGTCCTAATTTGCCAGTAATCGGTTGGTTTGCCGACTGAGCGGAGGGTGGGTGGCGGTAGCATTGCGTCGACAAACGTTACTCAGAGGTTCAATCTGGAGTCTTAATGGAAGGCGTCGTTGCGAAGAAACCACGGCGCGCCCGCCATAAGGGGTAGCAATTTGTTTTGTCTCACTTGAAGCGGAGAATAGAAGAGGAATTATTTAAAGTGCAAGTTTTAAATAGTAAACAATTTTTAACATTAAATACAATTCGGTTGCTATCACCGAAATTTAACTAAATGTTAGACGTAGTTAAGAGTAGTACAGAAGATATTACCGTTTTTCTACCGCTCCACAACGGTACATATCAAAAACTACTTGTTTAATTAATACTTACTTAAACAGTTTAAAGAGTTTATTCTAAGAGACAAGTTTACACAATCATACTACCAGCTAAGTAGAAGTTTACATGTTCACTTTATAAATTGGCGATAGTAGTAGCTAGTCAGGTTAACAATAGTAAAAACTTACAAGACAAATACAATATATGACACCGCCTTTACCTTCTATAACTGAAACAAGTAAAAAGAGAGCAGGAAAAATCTTTAAGAACTATTTAAAGCAAGTAAAAGGCTCATCGAGGAAGTAAGTATAAAAAACAGGATTAGGTCTTCAAAAACTGGCGCAACCTCTAAAGATAATTATTTTTTGTGAAGATTGAAGCATCTTACTGCCTATTAAAGAACAAAAAAGTGTTTCTGTGGTAACTAGACTAATGTGATAAGTTTAAATGAAAAAACCCAGTTAACCGTGTGGAAAAGTATTTATTAGGTTGCTCCATAAAATAAAATAAATTAATTTGAAAACTCCACTGCTTTTTGATAGCTCTCTTCGACATTCTTCCAGTTCACGATCTCCCAAATTGCATCTACGTACTTGGGCCGCTCGTTCTTGTACTGCCTAGTGGAAAGTAGGAATAACGTAAAGCTTAGAACTTCGCTAAGAAATATTAGAGATCTTGGAAGACAGTAGACATAAGTAATGCCAAGTAACAGATAATAAATAAGTAACGCACGATAGCGTCACTAATGTGATCAAAATCAGCTAGAACCAACATAAAGAAAATATTATGGCCTTGAATAGCGTTGTACAATTATTATACAACATAGGATTTAAAAAGGCCGAGGCCTACAATGTAAAGATAAAGAAAAAAATAATACAATCGGGTGCTACTAACTTGAAGACAACAATAAAATTTGGATCTCACAGCTTTTTTCCCTATAAATTACTTGAACCTCCATAACGTATAAAAATCCTATAACAAAACTAGCTACTGCCTTCCTTTAATAAATGAAAGCTAGCAAGTAACTTGAGCTAGATTTTATTTATAATAAATAAAAAGTTTTAAAAAACAGAAGGTAAGTTTTCTGGATTCCACCTACAAACATGGGAAAAAGTTTATTTCTAAAAAAAGAAGATATAAAAGTTTGATTATTTTTCTTTCTGCGAAGATTGCTGTAACCTTAAAAATTGTTAGAAGATTTTAAAGGTTTGAATGTTCTGAAATCTAGTTGTTTCCGACAAATACAGCGAATATGACGAGACCATACTATAAATTACTTTCTTGATGTAACGAAGGCAAGTCTTGTGTACTTATAGGAAAAGCGTTTTAATAGTAACAGTGGATTGTCCGGAGATTACTAATTTCATTTTAAATTATAAAAAAAGATATTAAATAATACCTTCTGCGAAAAGGCACAAATCAGAACGGTTTAACCAAACAGTTTATTTTTTTAAAAAAAGGTTTTTTAATAAATATAACATTAAAATAAAAAAGAATTATAATTTAAAATTAAAATTGTTTATTCCCCTTTATATGTTTATAAGTAGCCTTCTTCTATCTTTTTTAATAATTCCGCTAAATAAAAGGTTCTAGACTTTTTTTATCAAACACTGAATCGCTTTTATCAAAAAAAGGGAAACGTGATAGAAGCTGGCGAAAGGTTATACAAACGTGCTTATTTCACTAGGGCACATCTACACGATTGGTGTTACGAAGAGGGAATTGTTATTATAAAAACTTCGTTAAAATTAATATAAATAATACGAAATCAGCGCACAAGTAATAGGCATGCTCCCAAACATCCACGCCCAGTAAAGGTATCAAGCCGACCGTAGCAAGGAGAGGATCCTGATTTTGGCAAGTAGCAAGAGCAAGATTCTATTACGCAACCAAATTTTTAAGTATTTAAAAGAGAAAACAGGAAAAAAAGGTTAGATAGCTTTTTGTAATTAATAAAGTTAACTAGAAAATTTTTATTATTTTTTATAATTATAATAAAGATATTATAATTCAATTTTTTAAAAAATAAATTATAAACTTTTAGAATTTTAATGAAATTAAAAACAATTATATTTAAACAATCAAAAACTTTTTAAATTTATTTTTATTTGATCTTTTATTATTTTTGCGCACCTTTGTTCTTGTGTCATATCCCAACCAAGCCCAGCCCGAACCTTTGATTGCAACAGCTTGAGAGGAGAAAACTTCTTTAAATTTAGCAAAGGAAGAGAACTGCTTCTCAATTTGAGTCTTGAGCTGCCCATTATTTAAATAGCCCCCACCTTTTGTAGGAATATTATTCGCTTTTTAATCAAAAAATTAAGTTAATATTTTCTTATACCTCGAGACTTTGGCGCTAGATTATTCCAAAATATGGAGTGATTAAGATGTCCTCCGCCATTAAATTTTAGTGCATTGTGGAATGCTTTGAGAAACAACAATATACGAAGGAACTGTTTCAAGTCATAGAGAAAAAAAACCTATTTGAGAAGAGACATCCTTTTCAGAGAGGGCCTTTTGCAAACCTTCTTCCGCCTTATTTAAATTGTCAACATAAGCTTTATGATGCTTTGCATGGTGAATTTTCATAATTTCGCTTGATATAACTGTGAGAAGCAGTTTGTTAATGGGTGTGAGGATCACCGCATATTATCTTAAAAATAATAGATTTACTATACCTGGTTCGAGGGCATCGTAATCATAAGGTAGATCCGGTAACGTATGCATACAACGGTACCGAAAAAAAGGCTTAACCACTAGAAGCTCTCGAGGAAACCTACGCATCATGAGAGAAAAGATGAATAAACAAAAAGATAAGTGCGAGAGAATGTGGTCCTTATAGAGCTCCCCAGGCGTTCCTTATAAGGAAGTTTCTATTTTAGATCCTTTGTGGAGAGTAAACATATCAATTACTAAGCGGGTAACCCTCGCAGGATTACCGGGTGGCACAAATTGTACACACCTAATATTTTCACACAATTAATTAGTCTTGTCCTTTTAGGAAGTCTCAGTTCTTACACACTATATCTTTATAAATTGGAACTCTGAAAAATCAATCAGAGGTGTTTGTATTTGCGAGAACTGGGGGATTGTATGTTAATAAAACTATACTTCGTCTTCACAACAATGTAACCAAGACGATGAATGATATAATTCGTAACAAACTAGCTTGGGAATTTATCAAACAACAGATTATCGACGACAAAATAGATATAAAAAGCGCCAGGGCCTAAGACTAGGAATTCCTGTGAACGTAGCCTCTGCGGATCCCGACCGAAAACTGACATTCTTGACGGAATTTTCTGTGAATATAATACATACCAGCTGCCTAGCGAAAAAGAACTTAAAGGTAGTTACTCGAGGTACTTTTTCAGAGATTGATACGGAAACTTTAAAGGCGGATCTTATCTCTCAAGGGTTCAACTCTTCTGTAGTGATTAGAATGCGCTCATTTAAGAAAGAAGACAACCTCTGTCTCTTCTACTTGACCACTTGCCTAAATGGAAGCAGGCATTTATAATTTAAAAGGTATAGGGTATATCGCCCGTATCGGTTGAACCTTGAGAAAAAAGGGGAAGGATCTACCAATGCCATAGGTGAGATAGAGAATACTGTAAGTCAAACTACAAATCGTCAAATACGCTGGTACTATCGGATCGACGTCACTTAAGGCGAGAATAAAAAGCCTACCTGCATAAATTACCAAGGGTAGCTTCATTCAAATTATAGAGGATGCATATACTACCCGAAAATTGCACCTATGAAAAAAATTTATAAATATATTCCACTAAAGCTTCCAAGAACCCTGAAAGTTTCGTTGAGGAAAATATAAGCTATGCACAGCGTACTAAACTGAACTATCAGCTGAAGCAACTAATACAGCTCTCTTAAACAACATGATGAAAAACTTTGTTGCACTCTTACCTTTGCTTTAGCTCTCATTTGGCAAAGGCCATGAGGGAGTTATTTTGTATTAATTTTAAAGTTAAAAAAAATAGAGGTCAGCTCCTAGTTCCTGCAAGAAGTAAATAACTACGGGAACTTATTATCCGAGTGGCCCTGGACAAAATGCTCATCTCTAAAACACATCTAAAGGAAGATAATCGATTTGGAGTACCTAACTATTTTTTTTACAAGTGCGAGGCTAGCTACCTTGAAAGAAACATTATCCACCAAGCGCTCTATTTTTTCGACCTGGTAAGTTTAGAAGCTGTCGGCGTGATTATAGGGGAAGTCGATATAATTGCTGTTTACAAATTACCCAACAGGGTAATGCATAAATCTGATTTGATAAGATTTTTGCTAACTCTTCCAGTATCTTATTGACTGGAGATTTAAACTGTAAAGACCTCTGGAATAGCAAGCAGGGGAGTGCCAATAAAAAGAGGTTGGTCGAAATAGCCAACGAAAAAAATAATTGTTATTGATCCAAAGGGCCCAACGCATCGCCCCCGCCAAAGGCACTTGCGACGTTTTTAAACATCACGGTAACAAAAAATATATACGTACTTGTCATCGTCTATACGCTATTTGAACTCTCTTCAAAATAACCCCATCCTCATAGAGATAGAAGATAAGTCGCCCTCGAGTACTTGGGTTAAAAAGGTAACTAGTTGGCCAACATTTCGGGAACAATTAGACAAAAGCTTAATACCCTGGTGTACATCATTGAAGAAGCTCCTAAATTAGCACTACTGTTTTGCAAACGGAAGGAGCTATAAAAGAGGTCCATAGTAAGCCCACTTCTTTTGAAGAACCCAAAACCAGCAATATGGCCACAGACCATATTAGATCTCTGATAAAGAGAAAGCGAAAGTTGAGGGCAAGATTTATGAACTCTTATTTTCAAGGCGACAAAAAACTTTGCAACAAGATTAACACTCGAGTTAAGGAAGAATTAAAAACTTGCTTTAAGGAGAGGCAGAATAAAATAGTCTTCTGGGACAAAGAACAACCGCCCATCCCTGGCGCTAAATACCTCAGCGAGGACGACCTTCGAAATAGTAGAGGCATTTGCCGACTCAATGGGGGTTCATTCAACTATAAAGAATAGAGCCCTTCAATAATGAACACTATGCCAAACACGTGTCCACACTAGTTATTGCTTGACTTTTAAGATCTAACACATGTAACAAGGTTTAAGCTTACCAACAGTGCGGAATTTAGAACCATTATCCGATCCTTTAACGAAAGGAAAAGACTTGGGTCCCAACGGTATTTCTAATTTAACACTTAAAAAACTTAATTCCTCGAGCTATCCCTTTGATTTCAAGATTATTAATTAAATACTTACCACTGCCTAGTTGCCCAAACAGTGTATATAAGCATAATTTTTATTCCTAAAACTAGGACCCCAGTCATTTTACTAAATATTATCGCCCAATAAGCTTGTTTTTCTGCCTAGGAAAGATGGCGGAACCGGTTATCATTTCTAGGTTACAACAATTTTGAAGATAGTATGTGCGTCATGCCTAAATTCTAAATTTGGTCACAATAAAAATAACTCCACAATTTACCAAATACTTGGGTTTCCAGAAGAAACTACAAAAGCTTTTAACAATAGAAAAGTAACAGCTGAAGTCTATCTCGATACTGAAAAGGCTTTTGAGAATGGCACGATGGTATACTTCCCAGCTTCCAATTACTTAACTGCGGTCGTACACCCATACCCACAAGGTAGAATCATTACTACTAGAGTACGTGCCTTGACGTCCTCTATTAGTCAAAAATGGGTGTGCCACAAGGCTCCTTAACTTAGTACGCTGATGACACAGTCTTATATTATCGCTCAAAGACGCCCGGTTAACTTTAAAAAAGGCAGTCTTATTTGACAGTACTCTTGAAACATGGTTTTCAAATGGAGGTTATTAATTAACGTGTCGAAAAGTAGCTTTATGAATAAAACAAGGTTATTTCCCCAGGCTCCTAGTATCCCTATACCTAATTGTCATACCTCGAGGTAAGAAAGTTAAATATCTCGGGTTAATGCATGCCGACAAACTAAGTTGGACTCCGCATCTTACTTCGTTTTTAAAAACAATGCTATAACCCTTTTATATCCCTTACTAGGCAGGAAAAGCAAACTGTGTCTAAACTAAGCTTCTGTTATATAATTGGTTATACGCCCGCTGATGGTTTATGTCTCTATTGCCTGGGCTTATTCCTCAAGCAAACATGCTATCGAGTACAATAATACAAAGTCGCGGCTTCAAGTGGTGATGTACGCCCCTTGGTTAGTGCGCAACAGTCAACTACATAGAGAGTGTAACCTAGAGCCTGTTCGAGAATATAAAATTTTAGGGAACCGGCTTACTAGAGCCAGTAGACATCACAACATATTAGGCAGGCATTTGATTATGACTATCGCTGGTATCCCAAGTGGCTCGTGGTCAAAAGATTTTTTAAATCAAGCAGGGGGGAGATACGACTAAAGTTATAGTTTACTTTGTTAACTTGTAAATAGATATTTTACATATACAACGATATTAAAACTTGATTATTCCATTACATGTAATATCGTTATTACTTTGCTAATACGTCTTTAATGATATATGCTATTTAGCTGTGAAAAGCGCATCCGTTCTTTTCGTTGGTGGCCCAAGGCAGCATCAGGGAAGTTGCAGTTTTCCCACCCTGAACTAGTAGAGGGAAAGTAGATTAAACAGCATTGAATTAAAAATCACGTCTGTAGTAAACTATTGCTAAAAAAAATTAAAATTTTGCTTCAACCTGCCAGAAGCTTAAAAATTTAATCGAAATAAGGGAAAGAGTACGTCAATATCTTGTAAATTTAAACCTATATAATCAAATCCTCTTTCTGACTCGCCTTTACGGGATGAGAAAACTGATTAACGAATTTCGCCATGGTTAAAAACATAACTATAAAAACCTACATGATTAAACTGATCAAAAACGCCTATAGAAGAGGAAACACAACCTATTTACAGCGCGGACGTTTTTTAAGAAAGAAAATATTCCGCCCATTATTAGTGAAATACTACGGCGTCGAAATGTAGTTTCTTTTTTTACTTTATATCTTTGATGTTAGCTTTTGAAAATTTTAGAGTATAGAAAAGAAGTTAAGATTAAAAGTATTATACCATAAAACTTTTTAGAAAAGACTTACGACCCAAAATAACCAGAAGTTACTAAAAACAAAATAAAAACACCAGGGGCTGTTAATATCTTTGAGGGCGAGTGCTATAGTATATACTACATACTTAAGAGCTGCTTGGAGGCAATGCTCTGAGGGTGATGATTAAACCTATAGTAGAATCAGGTGATTAACTAATTTTACTAAACTTAATAACTTTTGTATTTATAATTTGAAATAGTAAGAATGAACAAAAGACTTCGGCGCAACATAAAGTTTAAGGCGGAGGTAAACCTTTACCGCTTTATTCAATAAAACGCATCCAAAAGTTTGACTTCACAACTTGTACCGTGAAAACAATATAAATTTTAAAAAAAAAAATAAGACGGGACGGCAACAGCGGTCCTAGAATCTTTTGGATTCTTAATGTTTATATTTTAGAAGAGGTTTAAAAGTGAAAGAATTTGACTCTCGATCCCTTCTGCGGGAACAAACCACATAACGCAAGCATATAAACCCCTAAATAAAGATACAAGCCCCTACTATTTAAGGGTCCTAACTCTTCTATAATTGATAAGAACTTTCATGTGAAACTTGCACCAGGAAATAGGAAATGACTGCACAACTCTCTTCGTGGCAGTTGGTCCAACTAACAAACTTAGAGTCGCCTGGGGATAGCTGTATGGCCCAATAAGCTAGTAACGATCCCTTTAAGACTTCTAGAAAATTATAATATAAGTTTGGAGGGATTAAAAATATAAACGAGATGGAAGACAGTATTTTTAGTACTCGTGTGTTGTAAAATTTGCTTTAAATAAATTTCTTTAGGCTTCAACCTACTCACAACAAAACGCAAGTATAGCCTACTAAGTACAAAGCGGTTTTTAAAGTGAGTATAACTCAGCACCGTTCTTTTTTAAAGGACGTGAAGCAGGTTTGCTTAACCCATATTTATTTCTGTTTTTGTATCACCGCATATGTATTAAAACAGTTAATCACTAGACACTGCTACAAATCTACAAATGCTCTATACAAAGTTTAAGCAAGTGCTACGTTAGCTCTATAAAGCAGCTCAGGTAAAAGTATCATTTTTTCTATTACAAAGAAATTCTTAATAAAATATAATTATAAAAGCACGAAAGAAAAAGTGTTTTATAGATAATGACTTACTTCCAAATGTGCATTTTAACACTAATAACAAAGCTAAAGAATATATAGAAGCGCTTCTTTTAACGCTTAATTTTTAAAAGTAATTCTTTCATTGCTTTCACATCTCTAGCAGCTTTATCTGTATCTTCAGTCGAAGCGTTTTCCAAGTCTTTAATGTTATCTATTTGTTATCGGGATTCTAAAAACAACGATAAGGTAACAATAAATTATATAACGCCTTCAAGCGTAGCGAGAAACTCTGTAATTCTCTTCTGCTTTTGATCGAAGAGTTTATATATTCGAACTTGAAACTACAAAAGATTAAGTTTCTTGTAAAACAATGTTAGGTATAAAGTACTTCTGGTACTTCGCTGGCGCATAAGTAACAAAGCAAATAATCCACAAGGCGAAGAGTATTTAAGCCTTACAACATCATATTAATAATAATGATAATAATAGTTGTGCTACTGCACCAGCATCGTATTCTTTCATTTCAAATCTGGCAGTGTCATACTCGGTAAGCTTCTTGCCTTCAAGTTGAAGCTCCTTTAATAAAAATAAAAGCATAACACAGAGCAGTTAGTAAAAAATTGCACCATTTTTTCTGCCTCAATTGCTTTACGACATTTTTGAATTTGCTCGAAATATTTTTCATGCAGCTCAACTAATCTATCGAGTTTCTTAGGAGATAAAACAGTAATAATAAACATAAAGTAAAAAAACCTCTCTATCTTTATCATGTCGCTTTCGATAAACTTGCCGAGAACACGAGTTTTATAAGCGCTGTTCTCCGAAAATGCTCTCAGCATATCATAAATAATACAAACAACGCTTTCTTAAGCGAAAAGTTGCGAGGGGTAACTTAAGGATGTTAGTTTAAGCGACCTTCAAAGTCGTTCACCTCTAAACCCTTTATGAATTTTTTGGGAGGTTTCATAAATTTCGGAAATAAACTTTTCAGTCCTATAATTCATATCAAACATAAACGCTCACAACTATGAATAGTATCACTACCAAATTGATCCACAAATTTTTTGCAGGCTTCAAATTCGTTTCCTCCAGTAAAGCAATAATTTAAGACTTTTACTGCACCAACGCTCGCCATTTTCTTTTCTCTGAGGATAAAATATTATTAGAGAGGGGAACAGCAGAGCAACCAAACCATCACTTGAGCATAATTATAAGTAATTCAATCCCTTCTTCTTGTAAAAAATGCTTCTTGTTTTCTTTTACCAATAAACAAGAGCACAGAGAGTCAAACAAATTATTGAGCAACTCAATTTCTTCGCTGTCTTTGGGATCTTTATTTCGATAATGCTATAAAGAATATGTCATTCAAATTAAGGATTTATTTAGAGCAACTTTTGCTTAAAAAACCGCTAAAGAGCGAAGTAGAGAGTCGATTCCGCCCATTTCTCCCAGTTTCCTGGAAATTACTGAACGCCACAAAAGTAATAGATGTTTGCAATAATACATACTAAGTTTACTAACTTTCTCCGTGGTGAAGTAAAATAGATAATATTTCACTCGCATAGAGTTTATTCTGATCAAACTGCTTAACACGGATCCTTCCAAGTAGCCAAGGTAAAAACTCTGAGGAATCTACTATCTGTCAACCTTCCGTGAGCAAAATATCATTAACAGCAGCAGTAAAAATTACGGTTTCACACAACTTTGGCTCCAATGAAGTAAAGTTCTCGAGTATTCCTAAAAAGTAACCAATGCGGTAGTCAAGCCCAAATACATGGGCGTAATATTTAAAAAGAAACCCAGCGTCGAATGGACACACGTGCTATCGTCGGCATTCTTCTCATCCATGCGAATAATGTTTTGGTAAAGAAGTAGAATAAAATTGTCCTTTACCTAAAAACAAAGACTATGACAGGGGATCTTTGCTAATCCTAACGACTATTTGGATGCTCCTTAACTTTTTTCTAGAAAAAAGCTTATTAAATATAATTACCAGCGCTTCAATTAGGGTATTGGCTTCATCGGGAAAGTCAGTTAATACTTCATCATCCGTTAACTCAAAGAAAAGCTGGACTACAGCGCTGCTAATGTCTGCATTTTCATGTGCTAAAAGCTGATAGAGGAAAATAAAAGTAGAAGTAGTAAGTAAAATATCACGAATAACAAAGGCACGTAGCACTCATGTTCATACAACCATATAAATTCTAACCATGGGCAAACAGTAACTTTAAAATAAATGCAACTCAGATCTCCACAAGCTAGTCACTTATTATTTTATATAGTAAAAAGTTAATGCCAACTTTAAGCACCCGATCTTTTCACCAGTTAAAGTAATTGCAAATTTCTTTATAATAATTTATATAAAAATTTTTGACTTTATCATTTTCAAATAAACTTTTGATTTGGTATAAAAATTTTTACATAATCTAAATTTACTTTTTTAAAAGGTAATAAAAAGTAAATATAACTACTTTGACATATTATTAATAAATTATACAGTAGTGAGATAAGATTTACTTGGATGGTGAGAGTGAAAACTTTACTTTCTATAAATTCAGGCAACAAATCAGGGGCGGTAGCTAAGACACTAAAGTTTTGAATTTCTTCATAAAGTTCGATTTCACTTTCCATAAATCTAAATAAAATAAATTAAAAGGCTGTACACTATATCTACCATAAACGGCAAGTAAAGAAGTAAATTAATACGAAAACTCTATGAAAACACTTCTACACACAGTTTGGATGTACTCTGTTAAAATTTTTAATATTTTAAGTTTATATAATATAAATAAAAGCATATTCAAAAAAAATTTACTTTTCTGGTTGTTCGGGATACTTAATTCTGAGCTCTTGGTTAATATTGATTTTCTTCTGTAAACTTAGTAATAACCGTTTTAAAATAGTACTACTAAATTCCTGGGAATGCTTGAGTAAGTTTGAATTAGTATATATGATGTAAATAAACATAAAGCTTCTATAAAAAAAAAACCTCATCAATGTTCTCATCTAGTTTTAAGAGCTTATTGTCTTCTCTAAATATTTCAGGATCACTATTTTTAGAGTTGGAATTACGGCGTTTTATAACGGGCAGAGGTTGCTTTGAAAAAACAGTTAACAAGTGTTTTAGACATTTTAATAGGTGCAACTTATAACAACATTAACAGGAGGAAAGTCACCTTAAAATCTACCATCTTAACCGGTGAAAAGCTATTACCAATTCTTGTATACTTCAGCGAATGAGCTTTGCACCGCAATCATATGTGACTTGGTTGCGACCGCGTTATAGGCTTGCATGCTTGCCGTGACTATTAACCATTGATCGCATAGTTCCGTCGGCTGCTCAGACAAGTCTTCCTTGGCAGCAACGTTTGCAAATATGGCACCTCGACTTGTTCCTTGGGCATCTTCAGGGGAATGGCTGGAAGTTTATCACTTACTTCACCGGGACCACAGTGAAAAAAAAGATCAATTAGCCCTTCAGATCATGGAATTGTGGAGTTCCAGGGGGCACCTGCCCGCTGCAATAGATGCTACGAGAGCTATATTGTCGGTACTTCTCAGTGATAAAGATCAGAAAGGAGAATCCAATAGCTTAAAACTCTCCTTTGCCCTTGCCATTGTAAGGTGCCTTCATAGCTATTTATAATATAAAAACTATATTATATTTCTTTTTATCTTTTGAATTTACATTAATTCTATTAGATTTGTTAACTTTTTTGTCGATGAAAACCAAAAAGGCAAGGTTGCACAATCTGTTTTATCGGTGGCTTCATCCTTGGGTATCCCTATACTTTGTGTAGAAGTAAGACATGAAGCAACTCACAATATCTTACCTTCTATTGTGGTGCTTCGTTTAGCCGCCAGATTGGTAAAGAGCGTATTATTTTAGTAACCCCCTATTAATCATTTCCTGTTGTTACCTTAATATCTGAGTTTTATTTATTACCTTATTTAAGGCTTTGACTTGGTTAAAAGATTCTTACTGGAGGAGGCAATTTCAGATATACCACTATAATGGAAAGCACTTATTAGATCTTCTTATCTTTTACAGAGAGCAAATTTTTACTAGAAAATATAAAATATATAACTCGTTAATTATTGAAAGCCAAAAAATTATTAATCACACCGAATTTTATAATTCTTTTACTGATGAATGCTCTAAAATATCACTTGAAAACTTAATTCAAGTTTTATTCACGCCAGGCATACTTCTGTTTGATGCAATGTAAGTTTTATTAAACGTAACTGTTGCTGTTCACTAGTGAATGGTTGCTACTGTGATAAAACGTTAAGACGGCTATTTTTAAATCCACGTTTAGCTATTCACTGATAGACTTTCGTTACAGCAGTGTGCTTGTTATATACTTCATGTTGTTTTACTTATATTAGTTAACCTTACATTATATATCCTTTTTACACAAACTTTTAATATTTTTTAATTGAATACTTAGAATTCTTTTTATGTGCAGTAGAACATATGTTTTCTTTACCTCCTTATTTTTTTAGAAATTACACTTTCTAGTTTTAATACCTACTCTTTTAAATTATTATTTTAAGGTAAATTTCTTTTGTCTGTACCATTATTATTATTTTACTTATTATAAGGTATGAAACTTTTGATTCTGAAGCTTTACTTCTTTGGAAACCAGTTTTGTATGAAATTGATAAAAATGTACCGGATTTTCTGTCCTATTTTTTATTTTTTCTATTCGACACCATCGTCTCTGAAGATGATGCATACAAAGTGGAACAACTCGGTAATTTTACTTTCCTTTTACTACTCTACCATTTGTTAATACCCTTTAAGTTGCCATATGTGCATGCATGATAGATATCTATAGAACCTCGAGTACCACAAGCTTACCTCCCTCCTTTTGGAACTCCTTGTGTGTGCGGTGCTTGTTTAACCCTTCCAGCAGGTTTTACACAATCCGTTATTATATATTAAGCTTTTGACAAGTTGGAAGACCTTTTTATTTTATATTTTTCTCTGCAGTACGAGGTCTCTGTTTTATAGTATGATCAACCTTATTCAAGATTATAGTCCACTAATATCCCTTGCTTCCTTGCATGAAAGTTTTATAAACAACGGAGAAGTAATATTTTGGTTTTTAGCTGTTACGATCTTTGTTATATCTTTTATCTATTATCAGCATCCGGGCTCGTTCCCTCTTGATTGCCAGTACGCTTCAGAAGATATTGAGCTGGTATTCTCGTCACTGCTTCTTTTATTTTTTAAGGGGGAAAAAATAAGTCGGTTACATTAAGCACTCAGTTCCTCTTTAATTGTTAAGCACCCCTTGCTTGCTAGCTTTCTTGTGGACTTAAGGGATACTATTACTTGTGTGTTTTCGTAGTAGTAAGTTTATGCAAGGAATGTAACTTTTAGACCGAAAAATAGCGTAAAGTTCTTCTTTTTTGTGCTCCACGAGTGCGTTGCGTTTCTTGCCTTTAGCAGATCCACTCGAGCGAAAGGCGCTTTAGTTGTTTATACGTTCAAAATTGGAGGATTCACACGTGACTTTATATTCAGTCTTGTTTTAGCTTTCTCATTTTTCACGTAAATTTTTTTTTAACTTAGATCCTTTAATCATGTTACGCCGAGTAAAAATAAAGAACTTCTAAAAATTGATAACTTAGTAAAGAGATGTTTTCATCACTAACTCTAATTTGTTATAATTAAACTTCAAATAGAAGTTAAAGGAAATAGTTTGCGTAAAGAAGCATGAAAAGGTTTGTAAACCTATTTAAACAAGTGGATTTTTAAGCGTGGCGCATGTACAGTTTGAGTAAGATGGTATACAAAATGCTCTAATAAATATTATATTTAAGAAGTGGAAGGCCTGCCCCTTAAGTGTCTGGCGAGGCTCCCCTATTGGCGTGTTGCCCCCTACCCTCCGGAAAAAAACCAATAGGAAGGGTTGCTGCCCACTCCAAGTTTTTCTATCATAAGAACTTATACCGTTTGTTACCTAGAAGGAATAAATGAAAGCGTTCCAGCGAAAACTGTGAAAGTTTTGCAGGTAGAAGACCAGTATAAAACCAAGCGGATCAAATACCTTCGGCAATGCGATTTGGTCGTGGAACTTTCTAATTCTATTCTTTTATTCTAAGAAAAGGTCAAAAAAGTTTTTTCTCCAAGTTCTTTACTTGCATATACGTTTTTTATCGATTTTATAAAAAAAGGTTTTTTCTTCCTTTACTTTTTTACTTTGCTTAATAATATATAACTGGTTATAATGTTAACGATACTAATTTTTTTGCGTTTTACCTTTGGTTCTACAAGGAATATACAAGGAATATACTTTTTAATCTTAAATATAGACAACTGCCACTTTTATTTTTTTTGTGAAAAAGTTGAAGATAATTAAAAACCCTTATTTTATAAAGAAGAAAATTAAACAGGTGTACATACCCGCTTACTTCATATTTGTTGTTCCAATACGCTTAATTCGTTCAGTTTATGCGTATTAAATAACAAATGCGTCTTACCTTAAACGATTAATTACTGGAGGCGGTAAAGTTAGTATGGATTCACTTTGGATCTATATATAGTTTGCTGTTTGACATTATTTGGAGTGACGCTTAGCAACCAGCTTTGATAACCTCTAAAAAAGAATGAAAGGCAGGATGGCTGAGCCTTCTATAAGCGTAGTCGGTTGTTGGCTCCTTTAAAACTGTTTAAAAAAGAAAGTAAAACCTCCGCATATACCTAACATGGTCTTAGGATCAAATATTTTTTAAATAAAACTTGTATTTGTAAAGCTATCCTAACCGTTTAGTATATGAAATAAACCAGTCGTACTGCTTTCATTATAATAAGTATTAACAGATGACGCAGTTGCCCTTAGAAAGCTAAGGTGATAGAGTCAAAATATCGACTCAAAGATGTAAAACTAAAGGCTCTGAATAGCAATTTTTAAAGCAAAAATAGGGATTATAATTTGAAGTTAATAACAAACGTTTTGTCAAAAAAACTCAAGAAATAGATTAATAAAAATATGGGTCAAGTATAGTGCTACTTCCATAAAAAGGCTTTTCAATAACTGCTCTATTTAGTAAGCCGCCGGCATAACTACCCCACCTCTAGGAAAGTGGCCGCTGAATCCGGTTTACTGAATTTAATAGAATTAAAAAGGCGGCTTTACTTGCGGGTCTCAATTGGTTATTTTAGGTTTAAAGCTCGAATCACTGCTTTAGAAAGCACAACTACGAGCGGTTGCCAAGCGATGAGATACCGAATCCAATCAAATATGAGTGAAAAGCACACGTCTTGCTGAGTCCAACTAGAGCATGGAAAGTAAAAGGTCCAATTAATACAAAGAAGAGAATAAGAAGTCACTAACGGAGAATTGGAGAGTTTTCTAAGATCAACCTTTTCTTTGCAACAAGGACATGTGCTTTTCTTGCCTACAATGCACCAACCACGGACGCAATATTCGTGGGCTCTTGAAAAATTATTATAATAGTGAGAAAAAATATTATCCAAACAAATAAACCGATGATTGCAGGTCAAAGTAACCGCTTCATCTACATAATTTTCAGAAAACGTGCGGCCACATATGCAACAGTTGTTAGAATTAGTTGGGAAACTTATTAGGGGAAGATCGTTAACCGTGTGATACTATTATTATATTAAAAATTAAAATATTAAATTAAAGTTAAGTTGATTGCAATAAAGGTAAAACCCCCCTCCCCCTAAACCCGACTCCCTTTACTGGTATTTTTTTAAAAAAAAGTTATTGAAAACTTTTAGTATGCCATAAAGGGGTGGCATTTTTAACTAAAGTAACTAAAAAATAGGAAAACTTTAACATCACTACAATAGAAGAAGACATCTTTTCAGCGCATAACTCGGCAAAGTCTTGAACAAGACACCCGTAATAAACGGCATAGAAAAGCAGTCGCACTGAACCCTCAAATAATATTCTTGTGGTCTGAAACAGCGAAAGTATAAAACAGAAAAAGAACTGGAATAAGATGGAGAGATAGCCAGCAAGGCCAGTAAAGCAGCACAACTTGTAAACCGTTAGAAAATAAAGGTAAACAAATCTCGGTGTAGCGCTGGAAAGCGTTTTCTTCGAAGTATCGTAGACAATATAACCATTCATAATGCTAAATAAAAGCCATATGCAAAGGGGTTTAAAGTAAAGCTGAGTCCTGCAGAGTAAAGAAAAATATAAAAGGGGGTCTCACAAAGGCGTATAAAAAAAGATGTTTAGCGAAATTACACCCAGTAAACTCCTGGGAGGGCCCAAACGGCAAGCATGGTGACAATTCTGTAAGAAGTAAACGCCTTTCTCCGCCAGACTAAAAGGATCGTCTGCAAAAAAATGGTGCAGAACAGAATTACAACTAACATTTCTAGGTGCATTAGTTCATGTCCTTGATGGTCGTGCTCCAGCTGTAAATTCGTTGGTCTATAATATTTTCAATTTACCGCTGATTTACAATAAATATTAAGAAGATATTAAATATATTCTTGTATTAAACGCAATATTCTGTGATACTACTAAACCAAATATAAACTAAAAAGGGCGGTTTATTTAATATCCGAATATTTGTTTATAAAATTATTGCTTAAAGCCTTTTGTAAAGTTGAAAAAAAACCAGAAGAAAACGGCGATAGTCAATTAAATTATAAAAACCTTTGGACGTTTATTATCTCTTGATTCACTTTGTTCAAAGTTGTATTAACCATTTTTATGAAGGCTTCAATTAAAATCACAAGCACGACCACAGCTAGCAAGCCTAATAACAGACTGTAGCTAGAGGGTAACGACTACTCCCTTTAAACTGGGAACGTACAATTAGCGAATGATTCCTTTTCACATACTTACTTCTATGCAATGCCCTTAATAAAATAATAAGAAGGCTTTTTGGTTCTGGAATGTCTAAGCTTTAATTTACAGCAAGGTGGGTTTAGGCACACACCAGTAAATTGTATAAATATTCGTTTAGGTTCGTTATTGCCACAAAGTTTAGGTAAATGGGCGTATTGGCATTACTAAACGCGGGTCATAATCAGTCTGACCTCGTAAAGCCTAATAAAATTAATGAGTGCGAGGTTAAATATGCGACCATCAAAGACCGAAAAAAAAAAGTGGCATCGGTGGGAATCGGACCCACGACCTTGGCGTCAACCACTGAGCTACGACGACAACTCTCGAGCCGGTATGCTGTTTTACGTATTTAACCTGTTAAGGTGCACTTTTATAAGAAACGATAGCTTAGAAATAACATCTGCTTGAGAAGAAAGAATAGTTTTCTTTAAAAAGGGAAAATGAAACCGATCCTTATGAGAATACATATAAGGAATTGGAGATTTCTTTGAGGACAAATAAGCACGAGGGAGAGCGTTTGTGCGCCTAAATATGTTCACGATTTCTTAGCCTATCAAAGTACTCTTACTTAGTAGGAACAAATTATAACACTACAATAGGGGTTGTTTCAATTTCAATATATATATGGTGTAATTTTATTTTAATACCGCCCTTTTCTCGGTTTTTTTCTCTGTTTGCAAAAAGTTGAGCTTTAAATTGTAAAAATAACCATTAGGAACTATTACACAACAACCCCACTACGAAATGATACGCCCTCCCCGTTTTGTTGTGTCTGCAGGAGTGCAATCGTCAATGTTTTTTTGTACATCCAAGCAACAGATGCTTAGAATCATAATAGGGCGCACGCACACTTAATAGAAGTGCAGTTTATTGCGCAAGAACATTTGTATTTCTCGCACACAGCGGCAAATAGAGTGCGTGGGTTACTGCTCTGATTTTAATCACAAACAAATTCTACCTCTTTCCGCCAGTTAGTCACCTATCGTTGACGACGCCCAAGTATTTGGACTGAGATCCCCATGATATCTTAACATCTGAGGGTTAGAGGCGGAAACAGTCAGCACTTCTGAAATGGGTATTGCTCTTCTTTTCTTTGCATTAAAGGTAATCCCCACCTACTTGCACCTGTCAGCAAGTGTTTCCAAATACGTTTCAAGTGTTGCCTTAATAATGAGGAGCTCTCTGAGGATGCGTAAATATTGAGGGGCCAAAGGCGTAGAGTGCGACGAGGGTGTGAAAATTCGCATTCCCACATGTACAGCACGAAGAGCAGGAGAGAGAGCAAAGAACATTGCAAGACGCAAGCTGTCACCGACGATATGACGACAGCGCAGTGTTAATTCTCACTCAAAAGGAGTGCCCGCTAAAAAAAACTTAAGTAAGCTGTAGGGCGCTAACGAAGTAACTAATGCGCGGGGTTTGCGAAGAGGTCCTTGTGACATAAGGGGTCAAAGGCCTTAATGTCAGCAAAAACGACGCCCGTAAATGTCTTAAAATTGAAGTTCCAAATTATCCACTCAGCAAAGCGCAAAGGTTGTTGTGTCGTCAAGTGGTCTCTTCAAAATTCAATTGAGAACGCTGGATGCGCTTGGTGTGTATCTGCAAACTCAGCATCTAGCGTAGTAGAAGAGTCTCCACCTAGTTGAACCACTTCTGAAGCAAGCAATGGAACGACATTTACTGGGTCTGCTGGAACTTGTAAAGTCTTGGGTAGTATCCAGCAGCGACTGTTATTCATCGTTTTGGAAAGCTAAGGGACATTGCAGAAGTTGCATAAAATAAAGGTGGTTGATCGCCACCGGGCTTAATCTTTTTTAGCATGTTTCAAAAATGCCAGAAGGACTGGGTGCTCTCCGTGGCGAAAGTGTAAATACTATAACAGTGATTAGCGATTCAATGAGCTGTGCTCGGTTAATAAGCCCTTCGCCAACGGTTGACGGTTCTTGCGGGGTCTTGACTTGGCCTCTACAGGTAGACAATGCAAAATGTAAGCACGGAGCAGCTTATATGGTCGGCAATGCCCAATACATGCTTTTTTAGTATTTAAAAGGCGTATAAACGTAGCCGAAAGGTAACTAACCTGCTAAAAGGTTATAAAGAGTAAATACATAGTGTAACAAAAATGTTCCGGAGTAATAGAATAAACATGAATACAAAAATTTTTTATGTAAGTTAGCCCTCATCCCTTTCGTAATTTTCCTTAACTACATTTTGTTACGTTATTGGCCCTATTTAATTTTTTTAATTTTGCCTTGTACTTTACTTCTAATTATTTATTTACATCTTTATCACAGTTCTTATTTTTTTCTTTTGATAAAAGAATGGGGGATGAGGTTAAAATTTTTTTGCATTTGTAACAATCCTATTGTCCCCGAACACTCTGGTTACAACAAGGGTTTAAAATTTCAAGATACCTTATAACTCTACAGGATGTTACAACCAACTATAACACTCCCCTATCGTTCGGCATAATTAAGGCGACTTCTCCCAAAAACTTTGTGTAGACTGTTTTAACAACCATTTAAAATCTAAGGTGGTTAAATCTTTATTTTTTTAGCTAAACTATAATTTCTAAAACCTTGTAAATTGTTATACATACGCATATATTTTTCTGGTTTTGTTGCAAATCGACGCTTGCAGCCTTAGGTCTTGCTTTTCACCACTAATAGGTAATAATGAAATACTGATTATAAAATTCCAACAAACCAATTTTTTTTTGTATTTAGCATTTGCTGATAATCTCAAAATAAACTTTTTTCCAAGATTCTTAACCTCATATTTGTATTAAACTAAGACTGGTTTTAGGTTCATTAAGCTAAATCCTAGCGCGGGCTATATATTGTCTCAGCCTACTGTCTGATTATATACTTTAAGAGTTTCACAACGTAATTTTAAAGCTCCACCATTAATTCTTAATCTTTAATTTACTATCTGACTGAATTACCTTTTATCTTGTTATAGATTTAGAGCATTTAACTTTATGAAATGGATTTTCACTCTTTTCGATTAATTTTTGAGGCTAACAGTTTCATAAATCTTTTTCTTTATTATAAAAATTTGTATGCTTCTGTTCTTACTAAGGAAAGTTGCGTATTTTCGATCAGAACGTAATTCATCAGCTTCTTCATACAACGCAATCTATATTTGGACTCCTAAGTCTTCTTGGTCCTTAAACACCGAGGCTAGGTCCGCTCTCTTACACTTTTGCGTGCCCGTAATAACTACTAGTATATCAACAACGCCTTCTCGCGCTCTCAGGCTCTTCTAGTTACTTCGTTTATTACGTTTATACCGACATGCCAATTGTTTGCCTCCTTCATGACTTCTAATATAAATAATAAATTGAAGAATAATCTCATAATTCTTATATTTTCCTTCTTACAATAGCGTCCTCTGCCCAATTCATTTGCTTAAAAAACAGCATTGGTTAGATTTTTAAATTTAAAAAAATAACCTCCTAGTCACTTGTGGCAGCAGAAAAATGCACTTGGCCTAAAAAAGTTCGAGGGTAAACTATGTGCACCGCCTTCTAAGAGAGTATGGTTTTGCTCCCTCTGCCGTCTTTCTTTGCTCTTTCTCCGTAAAACTTTTTCAGATTTGAAAAGGTTTAATTTTAAAATTTTTTCTAGCTATATTCTTTATGGATCTTACTCTATTTAGGTGTTTATTAGATTTAAGCTTTTCCAGTTTTGCAAATGACTCGGCAAACTCGTATATCTTTCTACCTTATTATCTAATTGATCTTTACCAGCAGTATATATAGATCTTATTGTATATTTAACTTATCATAAATTTATATTTAGGATTTCGGCCTATAGGGAAACCTTTAAATTCTTTCGTTTCACGTACCTTTTTTACTTAGCGACTTAATTTCTCTTAAACCTCTCTTCTTTTTTCTATTTTTACAACTCAAAGATTTTAAAAGAGCGACTGGATTTTTGCCCGGTCATATGAAGTAAGTTGTCATTTTACTTTTATAAGAGTATATTTTATAGTCTCTTTTATGTACCTTTTAACACTGGCGTCTAAAGTAGCGAGAGAAGGCACTACTCGAGTCAATCTCGACGAGCGGTAGAAGAAAGGACGGGTTATACGACTAGAGGCTCTCAGGCTCACGTGTCCTGCCGACGACCTCGTCTGCCACCTGGAAAGCCGTATTTGGCTCCAGACGCTTTCCCGAGGCCTCGTTTTCGCCACCAGAAGTCATCCTCCTTTTATGAGTCCAACCGAGAATATAACTTCCAACCAGAAGACAACGTTTTTAAAGAACCTCCGAAATCTACTCGTGCCCACTCTTTCCAAGGAAACACCTCAGGTTCACGCGTCCCATTTGTTCATGAACGATTCCGCCCTGCAATACAACAAGAGGGGTTGGGCTCTCGGCCTGGGGCCCTCTCCGGACCACTGCACCGTTCTAGCCCTCGAGGTTACTTATTACCACAACTCAAGTATACAAGCGGTTACCATGTTTTTAGCCTCTACCGAGTACAAGCCTGGACCCCCAAACTCCACTGCTCGCAGGGTCGGTCTCTTTTATAGAATTCCTTTCGAAATTAAACTGTATTTGTTTGTAGAACCCTTCACTTGAGGTGCTCTCCCGCTCTGACGGTGAATGGCCTTTGGAGTTAAAAAGTATAACTATAAATTTACACATCTTTTAGTTGGGAAGTATAGAACAATTTAATCCTCGATTATTATAGTTTTTATTCGTACTCTCTCTTGTTACTTCTACTTTAAAATACTCCTTTTTACACGTTTATCTTTGACCGTCGTATATAAGTATCCTATTAGTTTTTTTACAAGGGCGCTCCACTCGCTGCTCAGACTCGCTGTCAATCAAACGCCCTTTTTCTCGCCCTGCATCAAGGGAGGGGTAGCCTTTTCCATTCGTTATTTATACTGTTTATGCTCTTTAGCAGTTTTAGGGAACGACGGGGGCATTGGCCCCCTCCACTTCCTCAAGAAGTATCCCATGAAACTGAACCACCACTACCTCTTTTAAATTACGCACCTTTGAAACTGCGACAACCACGTACGCCTTTCGCGGAAGCGACAGTGTTTAAATCAGAACAGCCTCGTAACCGTCTGCAAGCGCCTTTCATTGGACAGGAGCAACCTACAATGGAACGCTCTGACCCTCCCGCCTCGCCACCGGCCAGTATGACCTCGATATCTTCGTGTCTACGTGCACGTATTTTGTAAGTAAGGCTCCTATTTTAGCCAGCGTGCAGGGCACCGGCCACCCGTTGCCTCTCTCGTCCACGGTATGGTTTTCCGAACTTGCTCTTTTTTTTGTTAACTTCTTTCTGGGTCCAGGGCGGGCTCTACCAAACCTCTCGGGCTGGTCCTTATTCTCTACGGCCACCAGAAAAGCAGAACGGCCAGTCCAAAAGTATCCAACCCTTTTCTTTTTCCCAACAAGTATCCCTTCCACCCTGTAACTTCTCTCCATTGGCGCCGAACAGTATGCCCTCTTCTTCCCAGGTACAGCTTCTGTGAGAAATATTATTAAACCAGCACGGATATATGCTTAAACACAGCCTCTTGTTGGAGGCGCTCCACCAGTTCAGCTTCTGTATCAACCTCACTTACAGCATAGAAGTACTGAAACTCTGCAGCCTTCTGTGTTACCAGCTTTGCCCTCCACCTTTTCTGCAAATGGGCCTATTCCTCAAGTATATACGCGCCTTATTGCCTGTGTTTAGTTTTCGTGTATAATTTAACCTGCAGAGTGTCAATCAAGAGTGTGAGTCTGCTTGGCTGGCTTACTATCGCCAACGGGAAGAGTATCACAAGCAGTATCAAGACTATTGCACACGAGTGGGACAAACCCAAGAGGCTAGCCAGCATTATTTTCAGGTGTTAGCTTGTCAGCAGCACCAACAAAAAATTCTTGCATGCGCTTCCGTTCCTTCTAACGGTAAACCTGAGCTGATTAGTATTTGTTGCCCGGTCGTTTAATTGTGAAAGCGCATATCAGGCCTACATTCGCAGCCAACACCAACCCTCTCGCAGCTCTTCTCACAACGTGGACCGGCGCCCACGTGGTTGGTTCGTCCCTTCGTCCACCCCCAGCCGCAGTTGCCGGCGTATGTGCGCCCCCCCCCTCGTGCTTACTTTTCTCAGTCAGGCTCAGGATTGCCTGTTGGTGAGGTCCCCTTTGGAAGCGTAGGGGTGAGCCTGTTTTATTTGCTTCTTTACGGCATATACATTTATACCACACATTTCTATGTATATTCGAAGCATTCCAGTTAGGATCAAGAGGAGGAAAATTTGAACAAGACTTAGTTCTGGAAATACTCGAGGTAATAGGCAATACTTTGAGGCTGGTTGGTTCTTTAGAGTTAACCGAATGCTGTGTAATACTTTTTTTTTAAAAAAAATATCTTTATCTTTGCTTCGTTTTTATAAACACAGCAACTGCTAGTTTCATTGCTGTGTGTTAGCCTTACCCCGACAATTGAAGTTCATTTATACTATAGCTAAAAGGCCTCGCCCCTTATAGTTTCCTTATTATTTGCAAGTTTTATTAACGCTGCATGGTTTTGATTCCTTATTGCATCTTTAGTGCACTATCCCTTTCATATTTTTTTTTAAAATTGGTGTTCTGACTCCCAGCCTGCGGTTTGCTTAGTAAATTAACTGGGTGTATCCACCCCGTGAGGCTACTATTGTCGACATCGAACCATAGTCATATCGTTTCCTTGCTTTAGATCTATTTATAGTTATTAATAGGGTTCAAAAGTATACTCATTAGCACCCACAAGACTGCTAGCTATTCTATACCAACTGACTACTATCTGGTTTTTGAGTTATATACTTGTCAGGGTGCTACTGCTTCTCGTTTACTCGGTTCGAGGGCTCTTTTATTCTATGCAAAATAACACAGCCCATCTTTCTACAAGAATTCCGTTTAAAATTTTATACGCTCAGTTGCATGGATGTCACCTTTACCATAATAAAACAACATTGACTGTCCTACTTTTGAAATGTTATTACTTTTTTCAACTTGTTAGGGGATCTTTCGCCTCTAATAACTATTAGACAACACTATAGTTATAAAGATATTTTAATATTAAAGAGTATTAACAAAAAAATTTTATTAATAAAACAGTAAAAAGAAAGTACAACGCTTTGATTTCATATATATATAAATAATAGAAGTGTTAACAAAAGTTTTTAGTGTTAATTTAATATATATATGATTTATAAACAGATTTTTAAGTTTTTTTAAAAAAAAACGAACTTATTTTGAAGCTACTACTTCAGCTTTTATTATATGCATCTTTATGAGACTTTTAAACTGCCATTGCCGGCAACTGAGGCCTTACTCTATTATTCGTTAGAACTCCTTGTTAAAAAAGTAAAACATTTTATGACTTTCTATAAAACACACAATAGGAACTGGTGCAATAGGTTTTTGCTTTCGTAGTTTTTATGTTATTTGTAATTTCTTTTTGAGATGTAAAATTATCAAAACCTTCTGTTGATTCATTAAAGCATCAATGCATTTATATTTGAGTCTGTTAGTTTAAGTCTTGGGCGTTTTTACTTTACTTGGGGAATTGTGCTTCCTCTAAATTTGCGTTGGCATTTCAGGAGTCATTCTACTAAATATTTAACGTAATGTCTTTTATCGTTTCTATTTAACATATGCTATAAAAAAAGAACCTTTTATTGTGTTCACTTTGAGAATTACTCAACTTTTATCTTATATATTATATCAACACCGCGTTACTTCAAGTTTACCTAAATCGTTAAAAAGATTAAGTTTTTAATTTGAAGGTTAGCCTTTCACAATAACTAGTCTCAACTCCTTACACTGTAAGAGGCCGTTACCGGCGTAAACGCTTAATAACTTTTATAAAAGAAAATGAATTGCTGGCTTTGCGCTTTACAACTATCTGTATCAAAGTTATCAAAAGTATAATGATTTTGATATTTACATAAAATTTTATTTTTACCTACATATCTTGCACTCACTTTGACTCTGTGACGTTATAAGTAAGTGTTCGATCTACGCTCTAAAAACTTAACGTTTACAAACCGGTAACCTATTTTATACAGGCAGGCATGCAACTCCTATCACGGGCTGTCTGACTAACCCTTTGGCCGTTTTTGCAGGTTTATTTTTTCTCCTTTATAATATTTTCTACTTTACTTATATACTCTAGGTAAAGAGTTAACCGTATGATGCTTTTTGCTTTTAGTAAGAACCTGCATCTGTTTTATTTTAACAAGTGTTTATAATTCTATTGTAATGAAAACACATTTATGTTAATTAAAATCAGTTATGGGATTCCCTCAAACTTATATGGTGGTTTTTTAAGGTTATAACAATAAAATTGCTCACAGTTAGAGTAGTTTTCCTTTTCTTTTAAGAGACAGTAATTTGACAGGTGAATGTAATATAGTAGCTTTTTTGATATTTTCTTACAAATCTTACCTTTAATAAAGTTCTCTAACATATAAAAATTGTTATTTAGTCGCTTTATTCGTTAATAGGTAAAAGTTTTTCTATTCAATTTTATGTAAAACTTTATTAAAGGTGACTTGTCTTACATCCTTTAATAGGCTTATATTGAAAGTAAAACCGGTTATCAAATCCTAATTAAAAATTTTAGATTATTAAAGTTTTTTTTAGGCTGATATGATCTCTTTGTAAAAGCTATTGGCTTATTATTAATAGTTGATTTAACAGCCCACGAATTCAAAAACACAACGCCTCCCGAAAAATCTGCTCTCGCGGCCGTTACAGTGAGCCTGCTCATGCAGTCTAAGTTTCCTGCTTTCAATATTGATAAGTTAAGATCCAAAAAAAAAAAAGAAAAGTTTGTTGTAGTTAAGTCAAAGGGTTTTCAGTGATAATATGTTTAAAGACACTTCCGCGCCTTTATATTAACTTTGAATACCTCTGTAAATTTCAACGCTTTATCAAACTGTTAACAACTTGAAACTTATTCCTCTTCGCACCAAAATTTATTAGTAAACAAAAATAACTTTGGACAAGAAGGTAAACCATCTTTTTTGTTATATAAGTAGGTCAAAGATTGAAAAAAAATGTTAATAGTAAATATACAACTGTCGGTCTATGCTTCTAGCACAACGCGGTTCGCGTATTTAGTTGTTAAATTGTCGTTAAGAATTGTTTCGTGGAGCTATTTCTTACGCGGTATTTTCTCCACTAAGGGTTATTGCATATGCTTTTAGTAATATTACAAGTTTTAAATAATATGCATTAAATTTCTATAAACTCTAGCCGAGTTGGCTTATTAACATATGTTTTAACTTTCATCTCGTTTAGCCAAACAGAGCTACCCTAGTATGTCAGTTAAAGTTATTGGGGACAGTGTCTGGAAGACGCGTCTCGTATGGTTTGGTTGGCGGGTTACGATTGTTCGATTCTAAGTCAGTTTCGTATAAAGCTTTAGAAGCACACTTCTTGTATTATTTCCAACCCCTTCATCGTTTGTGAAAAATATTTTTAAAATAAGTACTTGTTTTTTTTTCGATTTTCGTTAAAAAAATATTGCGCTTCATGTTCTATAAATAAAAATTAAATTTATTTTTAGCTAATACTGATATAAGCCAGCTTTTCTCAGTTGTGTTTCTCAACGTACATTTCTCGTTTTCGTTAGAGCCCTTGTTACTAGTCTATTATTTATTCATAGATGACTTTTCCTAGTGCTCGATCCAGTTAACAACTTTGAATACTCGAGTTCTCTCTCTAGAATAAACCCACATAATCTTTTTTTTTTCCAACTCCAATTAGGCTTGTATTAAAAGTTTTACCATGTTAGGAAGTGGACGCCCATCTTGAGAGGGCAGGAAACAATTTGCTAAGGTATTAAGTTCAGAGCCCCCCTTATTAGATTAATAACTTATTAACTTGCTACAGGTGTGATTTACAATCAATCGCTGCTTAGTCTATTTCCCATGACTGAATGTTAGGATATCTGATACCTAATAAATGATTTCCTGCCCCCTTGGGGCGAACGTCCACTTTTTGGCGTGGTAAGAAATCAAAACTTTTAACGAGGGCACGGAAGCCATGGCCTTCTTAACGAGTCATTATGTCTTCAACGAAACGGATGCGCTATTGTTTCAGCTAAATAGTGTACTGTCAAGGAACATGCAGCAGCAAAATAATAAACAATACATTATATTAGGATAGTTAAACTTTAGTACCCTTATTAATTAATAAAATAAACTATTGAACAAATTTAAGAAATGTCTTGACTGCAAATACTTGGTGTGCCAGCGAGAGTACTAGTCAAAAACCCGTTTAATTTATCGTAATGGTAACTACCAGCCTTAGTAAACCATCTCCGTGAATTTTTATGAAAATAGCCTTGGCTAGGCTTTGTAGGTGGTGAATTGGTTGTTGCGCAAGCCATTGGTAATCACTACTTTTTCTGGACGTGATTATGTAGTATATGATGTCAACGCACATGTTTACTGTAGGAACTTCCTTCGGATTATAGGCCAGTTTAATGGCAAACGGCGTTGGGAAAAAAATGACAACGTGCTCCTACTTTCCTCTTGCTTTGGACGAGCTAGGATGTGACTGAACACTGCACAATCGTGCATATATTCGCAATGTCGGCGAATATTTGACATTACAGTAGAAGTTTCCCGTCAAACTAAAGATGTAATTGAAAACCATCAAGTAAACTGGACAAATTGGATAGTGCTTGTACAGATAGAGCTCCGGCAATGACCGAGAAGGTAAAAGGGTTTGTAAGTTTGTTGAAAGGGTTTATAAAACGCAAAGTTTTTAAATAACACCATTATTTACCAAGAAGCTCCCTGTACCAAGGATATAAACTTTTGTCCTGTTCTTAATCTTGTGTTACGATGTATCAACCACATTTCGAGGCTCTTCATAGAAGGATATTTCGACAATATTTTCTTCAATTCTTAATGGAGAAGAACAGCGTGAATTACTACTACATCGTATAAGGTTAAATAAGTAAAACCATCATACTGGGATAGGGGGTTGTCGTCGTAGCTGAGCGGTTAAGAACATTTACCCGCATACTCTAGGCCATGGGTTCTATTCCCACCGATGCAACTCTCTTTTTCGGTCTATAATGGTCGCGTATTTAACCTCGCCCTAATACATTGCATTGCTCGTTGACTATCTCAAGGTCAAGCTTTAGAAAGGTTTTGAAATTTAAGGAATTTAGTTTTGAAATATTTAGAAGAGAGTGATAAACTTCGAGATGAGTGCCCACTTCTTAGAAATAAAGATAGCTTGTGGGATTTAGCTTTTGTGATAGATATTATGGGTTCATTGAATTAAGCGTTTGCAAGGAAAACCTAATTTTTTCCCAACTTTGTTCGGTTTGGATCAAACTTTTAAATCTAAACTGTCACTTTAAAAGAGCAACTGAGTAAAGGTGAACTGCACCAGTTTACTCGAATGCAAGAATTGATGGTAGAAACAAAATTCAAGACTTAATGAAGTTAGAAAACAAACCAATCGTATGAAGAGAGAGTTACCGATTTTCAAGAGGATTTTAAGTTTCACAAATCTTTTTTCAATTTTATCAACCGAAGCTATTACCCAGCGCACAGCAAGTGGAAATTTAGAGATATAAGATCACGTGGCATTGCATGGAAAATTTAAGGAAACACGTGAAACCCCCCACTCAAAAGAGGTTTGCCTCGTTTTGATAATTGCTCCCCAAGGCAGTCCTCAAGTTTAACTAAATTTGCGCTCCGCTACTCTTGTAGATTTGGCTTGACTTATATATACGAGCAAATATTTTTAACTCTGAATTTGATTAAAGGTTAATATTGCGCAGTTTCAACCGACGAACATTTCTAAAATCTCATTCTTCTTGGGTCCTTACAGATAGACTTGAACATTGAGAAACTGGCACAGATGAAGCAATCAAAGACCTCTTTAATGTTTAAGTACAAGTTTCTCAATATTGTTTAAAAATTGCTGTTTTTTAAAAATAAAAAATAAGTAAATTAACATTTTATTTACTATTATCCGATAACAGAGTGGTCTGTGTTTAATAATGTAGTTTTCTAGTGGTTTATGGTAGCAGCCTAGAACAACTGGGGTAGTGTTTTGTTTCATAAATTTTATTATAAAATCATTGACAAAAGTTAACTAAAAATTAATGAAGTAAATTTTTTTTTTCTGTTATTCGATTTAGATAAAATAGTAGGGTAGGCATGCATACGCATTATGTTTTAAAAGAAATGAAAAAGTGGCACTTTAAAGAAAAAGGTTTGGCCACCCTTAAACTAATGCGACTACCATCTGCCGTGAGTTCCAAATTAAAATTACATCTCCTGTCACCTCGCCGATAAGACCTTTAAAATTATCCACAGCAATATAGTTTACAAAAGAACTTCAACCCGTGTCTTAAAGCTGCAAGAGTGGCTTTGTGTACAGTCACTATCAATGTTAATGCTTGTTTAAGTTTAAACTCTAAATTATTAATATTAACCCAACTATACGGTGTAACTAAAACTTGCAATGCTGACAATCTTAGGGCTTTAAAAACCCCCTTTTTTAAATCATGTTTAACTATATATATTGTACCTTTCATTTATATTTACACAGTGCGACTAGTAAAGAGTAAAGTTGTTAATTTTAATAATTATAAGACCCAGAAACTAATATATTACAAACAACAAGTCATCGAATTTAGTATAGCAGTATCTTATAGACAATATATATTATTTTAAGCACGGTTATGTTTATGAAATATAGAAACCATCAATATAGCGTTTTATCTTCGAGCAGTGCACCCCCCCTTTGGTACAGTATCAAACATAAATCTATAAAGCAAAGCTAACAGCTAGAAGATACCAACCAAAAGCAGGAATTCATTCTAATGATTACTCATCTATGATTTTCTATATAAACCTTTGTACTGTTATTATATGATGCGGAAGTTAAAGAAAGTCATCACACCTTGCAGATATTGCTCCACGACAGAAGAACCAGTTTATGTATAAATCCTTCAAGTATGTATTTTATTAAAGATTTACTTGCTCATTACTTAATAAAGAGAAGTTTTTATTAAAAATTAATCATGCAATATATGTATTAAAAAAATTTTAAGGCTGACCTACAGAAAATTATTAAAACGAGTTATAAAATTCGGGGTACCGTCAATTTTAATATTAGTTGACGTACAAAATTTCTAGATAATATGAGGTATGAGTATGTATTTAAGAGGTCGTTCCAAACAAGCAAAGTTATAGGTTTAAGTATGTTAATCATTCAAAATAAAGTTTTGCTCGGTGAATCTTCATAGTTTGAACCAATTGGTATGTTTCATATGTTTTTAGTACTGTACTGTTATAGGTAATTGAGGGTTGACCGTGTGAGGGCACGACCCTAAGTAAACATTTAAGGGACGTCGTGAGCGTTTTGCTACTCAGGCGGCTCGAGAGCAATGAAATAAGTTAAACAGCTTTCGTTAATTTAATTAACTCTATAGTATATTTCTTTGTGAAATAATTTAACCTATTGCTCTCTATTACTCTCAATTTTGTTTATAATGTATTAGTTTTTGACGTTAATCAAGTCTGAAAGATCAACAATACTAAACAACAACCCCATTTACAGTGGTTGTGCTAAATGATACTTTAAACCGAGATCTCCTGGTTGGTTCCGCTATGTACTATCTCTTCATGCAATGCCATCGCCATATACGAACAGCAAACTGAGCACAGCGCCCTGCGGCCGTCTACTGACCCGCTTTAATTGGTCTTGTCATTGCTATCTCTCCCATTTTAATTTGTTTTGCATCACCCCTGCATAATCTTAGTAGGTAGTTCACGTAAAGCAACTTAGAAATGCCGTTTTTCTTCTTCTTTTTCTCACCAAATACTTGGCGTTTAGAGGATGGAAAATGAATTAGGTCAATAATGTGCGATGTATCCTCTAATCAAGAGTTTTCTTGGTCCGATCGAGCAACAAAAATTTCTAATAAGGAACGTACTCGTAACTTTTTAGGCCAGAAGGTTGCACTGAAAAGGGTCGAACCGGTGATAAAATATTTACGCATCAACGTTACAAAACCATGAGCTACGTTGACATACACAATTCTGGCTAATGAGTTACCGGTCACTACAAGAAGTATGCAGTAGGGTCATTTGTCGCCTGTAGCCCTTAAAGTACACTGAAAATAAAGCTAGAGCTACTAAAGGTTAGCAGGCGCCAGTATCAGAATTTTTGTTTGTAGGGAAGCTGTATACATAACCACCATACCAGAAAAATGCGAGTTGACCCCGATGTGAATTGAAATCCGCGGCCTTACAGATCGCACGACGATATTCTAACCAATGCTACGGTGACAGCTCACACCTTCGGTCGATAAATTACGTATATTGCTTCTGTTAGCCAGTGACTCTGTGGGGGCTTTGTACGTCTAGCCACAAAATGCTTATAACTAGAAATTTCGAGAAGGCCTTAATGGTATACATACATTTAGTCACTTATTATTTTATTTTACTTATCATGGCAAAGGGTCTTCTGTACCAAAGTTTGGTAAAGCAGAGTAGTAAGCTTTTCTCGAGGCCCCTAAACTTTTTTTCCACTAATGCCGGGTATTCTAAACTCTTACAACCTTATATCAATTTAAGAAGAACTGTATTAATATACCTTGCATAATCTTTTTTTCTAACGTTATTCACTTATCTTAAGTAAAAAGGAAGAAGAGGAAGAGTTTAAGTTAGATTCCGCAAAACCCTACGTTCAATTCTTAATGAAGCAACAAAAGTCCAGAAGGTTAAAAAGTGAAATTAAATATTGATTTTCGTTAAAGTTGTGTTAGACCTGGACTTCCAAAAATGTTTGAGTCTTCTGAAGTTTGTCTACTCGCTGAATCTGTAAACTGACCGAACTAACTGTTATCACTAGTTTTTATCTTCTTACACAACTGCAGGTTTGGGAAAATTATTTGAAAAAAAACTTGCAAGAAAATTTGAAGTTACGCAAAATTCGCTATGAGAAACGCCTTAAAGCTTTAAAAGCCTTAAAAATAATAGATCGAAGTAAGTTCGACCGTAATTTATGGTGGTTATAATTCCTTGTAATAACATTAAAGGGCTCTTTGAAAGCGCTTTGGCTCCCGATCTCTCCCCTTTCCCCTTAACTCGTTCGCATCCTACGGATACACCTTCTAAAGATTTAGTAAAACTTTACTAAAAGAAAACTTTACGATAGTAGCCTAGAAACATAAAGCAATCCTTGCTCTACAAAAGAGTGTACTTGCTATTGGAAGGTCCCCAAGTTATGAACCATTAGCACTCTAGACAAAAAGAAGTACCTCGACAGCTGGCAATGTTCTTTAAAGGAATGAAGGGACGTATTTCTTTGTGGTCGAAGCAATAGCTAAGGCTCCGCGCTCAAAAGTTTATAAAGCCAGAACATGTGAGGCATCGATAAGGATCATTACTTTTCCTTTTATACAGGGATTTTCAACGCCTTATATTTTAGAACAAGAGCACCATTTGTCAGAGCATTGTATCTTTATTTCTATTGCTAGTAGATTCGAAGAGAGCTCTCAAACACTATTATTAGATGTCACTAAAATCCTAGCATAAAACTCAATACATTAATAGAACAAAAATCGAAAAAATGAGGTGAACCGCTTCAAGAGAAGCTAATTTTTTCTACCTTAATAGTATATTTACGTTGAAATAACGTTTGCAGTATTAAGTTTCAAAGCTTCATCTTTTTAAGAATTCACTCCTCGACCATGATCCTTCTTTTGAACATAACTAGCGCATAAGGAGACCAGACCTTGCATTCGGAATTTAATTCTACAATATTTTTATACAGATGATCTGTACCACTTTAACATAATTTAGTTTTTTTTCCCAGAACTTTTAATCTTCTAGGAAATGGCGTTAGTTTAATCTATCATTGGTGTAGATCTTACCGTTAATCTCTAACGCCGTATAAAAGAAACAGTAAAGAGGGGGGGAGACAGTTTTTTATAAATTGCTTCGCGTCCTCTCCTAAAAGATATGTTTCAAATGCGTTAAGTTGCAAACTTATAAACCTAGTTTCAAATAATTTATCTCTTGCTACTACATTGTAAATTAAAACTTGCCTTCGGTTAACTTTCTCCGTATTCTTCGTCGGCTTATATAATCACGCCAACACAATTTTTGAAAGGTTTACTCTACCTCGGTGTCATAAAAATTAGGGGGATGTTTCGCTCTTGTTCTTGAACTCTACATTCAATAATTTTTCTTACATACAAAGTATATAAGGAGAGGCAATAGATATCTGCGTATTATACTAATGGCAGCTTTCTCCAAATATTCTACCACTTGAGATATTGGAGGAGGCGTTGCAACTCTGTTTTAACACAGTATCAACACTATTCCACGGCACTGCCGCCTCCGCAGAGTATAAAGGTAGTTTAGTATGATTTCTGAACACCCAGGAAGGCATACCTGGTGAAAAGCTTTTCATCACGCCTAAACTGAAATTGAATCTTCAAAAGCGTGGTTTGTACGCGATAACTGCCCAGCGGAACTGTTTCGAACTATGTAACAGGTAAAAAAAAACACGTTAAACCATCATACCGTGATCGAGAGTTGTCGTTGTAGCTCTGTGCAAACTCAAGATGATGGGTTCGTTTCCCACCGACACGACTTTCTTTTTCGTCTTCGGTGGTCGCTTATTCAACCTCGCCCTCATAAATTCTACTATGCTTCCCTCTTCAAAGCCCGGATATGCAGCTATTTCTGATAGTGAGCTAATAGTACTTGAAGTTTGTTGACTCGATCAAATATTATAAAAGGTCATTATGTACATATAAACAAATTACTTGACTAGACAAACGTCTGTAAATAAAATTATGAGCCCCTTCTTCAAATCCTTAACGCTTTTTTAGTGGTACCTCTTAGCTATGTGGGAGTGAAAGCCTGCGTGGAATAGGAGTATTACCACATCCTTAAATTTTAGCTAACGAACGACAATTGAGGGCCATTGGGCTACTATTGTTGGTGGATATTAATAAAACTTGTATAAGTAATTATCGAACGTCAATGTGAGTTGTCACCGCAGCTCAGTGGGTAGATAATTGTCGCACAATCTCAAGAGAGCGGTTCGACTCCCGTCGGTGCCAACTTTTGTTACACATGATAAGGAAAACGAGCACAATAGCTGTGACTGCCGCTTTTGTTAAAGTTTTTCACTTTCTATCGGTTTCCTTGTTGCTGGCCTTGTAAGTGTGATAACAAAAGCTCACACCATCGCTCACCACATGAATTTACGTAAGGCTTTTAATGGCCTCCTGAAGAGTTCGTGGCGGTAATCTGCGAAAGCTGACGCCTTATTTAAGGGGCCATTACCTTTTGATGAGTAAAGAACATGGAGCTAAGTCAAACTACGTTAACACATAAGGAAAAAGCTGCTGTCGCTCCAAATTGCCTATGAGAGGTTAAGCTAGGCGAAGTGGCAACTCTTGCTTCTCCTATTAATTTGTTAAAAAGCAAGAAATTGCAGACGTACACCACCACTGCGCAAAGGCGAAATATATGAAAGCGATAAAGGTTAGGAAATACTTTTTGCGCTGCCCGCCACCTCTCTCTTCTACTGCTAATAATGCGCTCCTTGACACGAGTTCATGAAGCCCCCTACTACCTAAGAGATCTGAACGGTGACCAAAGCTACCGAAGTGAAAGACTATGAAGTGCCCCAACATTCTAACCCTCAGTGTTTTAAGAATGTTCCGGATTATCAGAAAGGATAAATAAATACCAAAAATTTTAAACTAAATATATCGGCCCTCTTTCTATTTTTTTTAAACTCCGACGACTCATTAATTATCGAAACATATCAGGGGGGGACTATAGGTCATTGTTCTGCCTCTCGACTAGGTGAAGGCGTAGTAACGTGTTCTCTTATAAGGAAGATTACAGTTGACATGATCTTAACGGACACCCCCCGCTGAGCAAGGTTGCCAGATGCAGTTATAATAAACCATTGGAAGGCAGTCGTTAACACAGGGACACCATTGTCGGAGTTACAGTTTATATCACGGCAAATATATTTTCAACGGCCCACCATATACTTTGCCTGACCAAGTGGACTCCTTGAACTTATTTTTAGAAAGCCACTGACGCTGTCTTTCCGACGTTAATAAGGCTTTGACACCATGAACTATAGTATGAAACTTAGCTACGCAAGCTGCACTCGCTTCCAGTCCAATTCGTGGCGGGAATTCCTTAAGGCTCTTCTCTTACCATTGCTATTTGCACTCTACACGAGTGACAGAGCCTCTGCCAGTCAATCCTCTTGCTTAAACGATCCATATTTTACTAGTAGTCTAGGCCGCTTTTCCTCTAACTCCTTTTAATTTAGTAAAGAGCAAGCTTCATTATAAATTGAAACGCAGTCCGCTTCAAGCGAAACAAGAATTTTTGTCATACCCTCCGGAGATATTTTCGAAAGAATTCATTGATTCCACGTTACGAGTATCAAGGGTTAAAAGGAGGCGGATGTGAAGCGATCAATAAACTTTATGACCTCTTATCTACTTAACTTATTTTGTAATGAGCGCCACAGTGAAGCCTTATAGCTTACTCGAGGAAGAACTATATTAAGATGCCTTATTTCACATTATGTATCGTTGTTTGTACCCGAAGTCTCTAAAGTCAACCGGTTTTTAGCATTAATGATAACTCTACCATTCTGGTTTGAGAGGTTAAAACGGATAAATGGTGGCATAGTTTAGAGCAGTGGCGCCATAATTTTCACTCGCTGCCCGACATCAGCCAGAAATTAATCAATTTTTATGGAATTTTATTTACAAATGTAATATAATAGAAATCTCAATATTTCGTTAATGCGACATCTGCAGTTGCTTCTTTGTAAGCAGAAGTGATATAAGTGGTTGCACCATTGTTTTTGAGAGACGAGGTTACTGCATTAACATCCATTCCATTCTCTGTTTGATTTTATTACTGACGTAGATGAAAGCCTTCTCACACAAATATGAAGTCGAAAAAACAACAACAATTTAATAGCTTTATCATAATTCGGAGATGGATACTCTTTATTGGAGGATAGCTAAAATTGAGACAATGAATGCAATTTAAGTCTCGATACCAAAGTGACATGAGTAAACGCCTCAATCAACTTTTCTTTCTCATGAAGGTCGAGTGTGCAAGACTTTAACCAATAGGTTTCCCCTAAATGGATTTCTAATTTAGGGAAGTAATTATTACAGAATTCTGGCTAAAGATTTTAAAAAATTTGCTTATAATAGTGACTGTGATCATTTGGTTAAATTAGCAACGTTTAACTTTTCCAAAAGTAAAAATATTTTTATACGCGACTTTTCAAAAGAGGCAGCTTCTTTAAAGGCATCCACTTTATTTCTTAAAGTGAAATTGGTGTAAGACCCCTGAAAAAAACTATTATTAAGTTCGTTCAGAGGATTTATGTGTCTTCTATTACCCAAGCCTAGTCCACTAATTCCTCATTCACCAGGGGCGTCTATGTCATATTTTGTTCTCGTAGAATTGATTTACTTCTCTCTTCATTGAAAAGAAGCGTGTACAAAATCTCTCCTTCTCAATAACCATCTCACGTCTACATGGAGAAAGAAAGGTTGCTGACCGCCCAGTGTCGTGCACGATTTTGGGTCCTAGCTCAACTACACATTTTGTTATTAATCTTCATCGCGTCATCCAGCAGAGTATTCAGTTCAGGATAAAGTTCCTTTGCAGCTAGATGCTCCCCGTGGATCATTCAGTGTGTAAACTAAACTTTTTAGTGAAAGTCCTTATATTTTCGCAACTACACCTGAGCTACTATATTCAAGCTCGTAGCACTGTCCGTAGGCACACCCACGCAATTACCCTAGTCTAAGCCCTGTATTTAAAATAGCCATCTAAAGTATAAAATATCTCAAAACTAGTGATTCGTCCAGGTAGATTTAGGCAACAAAGAAGTTCTCCCCTAAGACCTCCTCCACACTCTACCTCAAGAAGCAAAATAAGGTAACATTGTTACTCCCGTCAGTTGATCCATCAAGTTGAATTGCAAAAGATCTAGATTTGCTTTTTAAACCGATGGTTCTCCTCTGAACTGTGTTTGTTTGTCAGAAAGCGGTATAGCCTTTTATATTTTAGTGGTTTGAGGACCCAAATTTTTTTAAGCGGTATCTATGATGCAAAGCTTTATTAACTCCTCACCAATAATGAACTGTTTTTTAGTTTTAGTTATTTGAAGAGCAACTAATTAGACTCTCGTAGCACCGCCTTGTCATTTAGTCATCATTTTTTCCATTTGGTGTTATTAAGTTTCATCAGATTACGTGATGGTTCAAAAAAATTTAGTGGACAGTGAAATCTGTATGCTTCGAATTCATATATTGCGAGCCAGTTCGGACGGTTTCATAGCAACATTTAAAAAAACTTCGAAACATATTACACATGGAGGCC